CTCTTTTTTTCAGTCTTCCTCCTTCCCTAGGACGTCCTTCCAACTACTTCTCTTCACTGACTAATCCTGGTCAGAGAAGAGCTTTTATGCTAGCTCGCCTGAATATTTTCCCTTCAGCGGTCCATGTAGGCTGTTTCTCCAAGATTCCCCGTGTAAACAGGCTCTGTTTTTTCTGTCATACTCTACCAGACTCCCTGGACCATATTTTATTTCACTGCCCAGCTCATTCTTCTCTGAGAAAGCTTTTCCTAGAACCGTGGCTTTCCTTTTTTCCCAACTCCTTAGCCTTTTTCCTGAGTGATTCTTGTCCTTTGATTACATCTGCCGTTGCAGGATATCTATTGGAAATTTCTATTTTAACCCACAACCTATGATATTACTTGCTGTTTTGAGTGTATTTCTCACTTTACTTTTCCCTTGATTATTGTTTGGTTTGTATCTACGTTCTGCTCCTGTCTGTTCATATGCCAATAAAGGTATTGAAATCGAAATGGTATACTTCTGGACTGCGGGCGATGAATTGAGAGGGGAGGCGGTTGGAGCGCAGGTGGAGGAAATCCCACTGGGAGTCTAATCAAACACGACTTAGAGCCCATTATTGGGCCTATTTCGTGGCAATACGGCTGGCGAAACGGCAATATTTCTCCAGCCGTATTGCTTCCTCAGAATGTCGTCCAGCAGAGGGGTTTTGGGTGGTCCAGGATCTTCTTCAACCAGGAAATCCGGTGGAGGTCCCGGACTGCTCATCAGCTCATTGTGATGAGTTGATACTCCCTGCTGATACTCCTGGACCTCTCCGCAGCTTTCGACACCATTGACCATGGTTTCCTTCTGGATAGGCTGGCTGGGCTGGGAGTTGGGGGCACTGCTTTACAGTGGTTCCGCTCCTTCCTGGCTGACCGTGTCCAGAGGGTGGTGCTGGGGGACAGTTGCTCTGCCCCATGCCATTTATATCATGGAGTTCCTCAGGGTTTGATACTGTCCCCCATACTGTTTAACATCTACATGGAACTTCTGGGAGAGGTCATCAGGAGGTTTGGGCTGAGGAGTCAGCAATATGCTGACTTTTAATTGAAATAATACCAATTGTGGGTCCTGATGGCAATTTTTAGAGCATATATTTTAATTGTATTTTAATTGTTTTATCTTTTTTTCATTGTATTTTAATTGTTGTAAGCTGCCCAGAGACCTTTGGGTAGTGTGGGCGGCTTATAAGTTAAATAAATAAATAAAATAAATGACTTGTGAATACCCTGAACTGCCGGAAGGACTAACAAGTGGATTCTAGAGCAAATCAAGCCTGAACTATCTCTGGGAGCAAAAATGTTGAAACTGAGGCTGACCTACTTTGAGCACATTATGAGAAGGCATGATTCCCTGGAAAAGGCAGTAATGCTACAAAATCTGAGATACGATTGACTCCCTAAAGGAAGCCACAGACTTGAGTCTACAAGAGCTGTTGAGGACAGGACATTTTGGAGGTCACTCATTCATAGGGGTGCCATAAGCTGGAGGCAACTTGACAGCACATAATAGCAACAAAAGTTAATGATTTCTTCCTTATATCCATTGTTGTTTGCCATTTATGTAAGTTGATATATAATGAAGAGTACAAGCAAGAACTTGTTAACTAGTTGCAATTGGCTGCTGTAATTTACACTGTTGAATTCACAACGGTGTAATTAACCAATTGGATTTTGGCCTTGTTGCTTTGTTATTAAACTCTTCTGCCATCAAAAGTATAATTACTGGCTTAATTTGGAAGTCTCTGTCAACAGCAATATTAGAGGAATGTTGGCTGTTTTGTAGTCAAGGAAGTGCAAGTGCAGGTGTTTACTGAGTGAATGAGCTTAATTCCTCAAAGCCCTTTATATAACTGCATGACTAATGAATGCAGCATTCTTTTGCATTGCCAAAAGCAAACATTCTCTGGAAGAACCCACACAAAGGATTTCTGGAAGATTATGAAAAGTCACATTCTACGTTATTCTTATTTCTTCAAAACAATTTTGCCCAAAGGATTCTTCTGTATGGGACAAGATAAAAGCAAAACACTGCAGCTGCAGTGGCAAAAATCAGTAATCTTTATTCCATAGCATAGAGAAGTCACTGGTGGGAGTGGGGAGGGGCTACATTTCAGAATTTGCAGCAAACATGGCCACTAGCAGAGCAACTGGGACTGACCTTTGCCAAACTCTGCTTTCCTCCTGAATCATTTTTAGATATCCTCCTCCCCTCCCCCCCCGCCCCTGCAACTGGTCTTCACCGTTAAGTAATTCATTAAGTAATTCCTCTTCAGGCAGGCCTTTAAACAGTGAGTTATCTCAGGAAGGCTGGTTATTAACGTACAAATTTTAAATGTTTTAAAATTGTTTTTATACTTGATTGTTTTAATCTTAATGAGTGTTTAATTGTTTTTTATTTAGATATTGTTTTTTAATTCTATTTAAATTTTATCTATGGGGAGGAAAGGTGACATAAAAATGAAGGAATCAATGAACGCAAAATGGGTCTACAGAGTTTGAGCAGGTCGACATCCTTGGCAGTAAGAGCTGTTTGACAGTAGAATTAGTGTTCAGCAATAAAGCCTTCCCTATTGATACAGTGATATGAGGAGAAGAACTTTCTTCATTTAAAAGATTGTTAACCGGCTGGAGTCCTTTAGAAGCTGCCGCCATTGGATTGTTGGCAGAGCCAGACCCCCAAACAGATGGAGCTTGTAGAATAGCACAGCGCTCTCTCTTGTTCTCGTGGAAAATTTACTGTTTTGGGATTAATAATTCCCAGAATTCTCAAGACAGCATGACCACTGGGCATATTGGTGGTGATGGTGGTGGGGACTCTGTTGGTTGTAGTCTGGAGAAACAACTTTTCCAAGCTTTGGCTGTGGGTTGCTTGTTCCCCAGCCCAGTGGTGTGTTTAACAGGAAATTTGTTGTTTAGTCGTTAAGTGATAGCCAACTTTTTGTGACCCCATGGACCAGAGCACGCCAGGCCCTCCTGTCTTCTACTGCCTCCTGGAATTTGGTCAAATTCATGTTGGTAGCCTTGATGACACTGTTCAAACATCTCGTCCTATGTCTTCTCCTTATCCTTTTGCCCTCATACTTTTCCAACATCAGGGTCTTTTCCAAGGAGTCTTCTCATGAGATGGCCAAAGTATTTGAGCCTCAGCTTCAGGATCTGTCCTTCCAGTGAGCACTCAGAGTTGATTTCCTTTAGAATGGATTGGTTTGTTCTCTTTGCAGTCCAGGGGACTCTCAAGAGTCTCCTCCAGCACCACAATTTAAAAGCATCAAATCTTTGGTGGTCAGCCTTCTTTATGGTCCAGCTCTCACTTCCATACATCGCTACTGGAAAAACCATAGCTTTGACTAGGCAGACCTTTGTCGGAAAGGTGATGTCTCTGCTTTTAAAGATGCTGTCTAGGTTTGTAATTGCTTTCCTCCCAAGAAGCAGGCATCTTTTAATTTCGTTGCTGCTGTCGCCATCCGCAGTGGTCATGGAGGAAATTACTGAAGAGGAAAACTTTTGTATTTGAGAATTTATAAAATAAATAAATACTGTAAATGTTTCTCCCTGGGAATGGGAACCTTAGTTTGTGAACAGCCAATCAAAACATTTGTATTTCTTTTCACAGGATGCAGATGATATTATCCAAGAAACAGACATCAGTCCAGGTAAATTCCAAAGCAGCATAATGAAAGTGAAAAAAGACAAAGAAAGAAAAGAAGATCAGGATTCCTGTCAGGCCAAGCTGATAATTTGGAGCCCAGGAAAAAGGAAATATTTTTCCAGTGGGAACTTCAGAATAAAATCAGTGGTTTACTGAATACTTCTTGCTGGATAGGGCAGCAGGGCAAAGATTGAATCATCTGGATGGTGTTGGGGGGCATACTAATATTGTAACTTTCATAACATATTCTGCAAAATATACCATACTAAAAAATAGTAAAGAAAAGCAACATCAGAACACATTGAAAGCAGTAAGGTACAACATTCCATTTAAAAATCACTCTCAGGCAAGCCAGTAACGGGTATTTTCTTAGAAGCAGGTCCAATTGAGTTCATTAGTATTGGCTCCTAAGTATATGTGCATGAAATCACATAGTTAGGAAAACTGTAAGCAAACAGGGACTTGCTATCATCTCTGACTGGTATTATATTTAAAGGTTTGTTTTATTTATTTATTTTATTTATTTAAAATATTTTTACTCTGCCTTTCTCCTTAAAGAGACCCAAGGCGGCTTACATAATTAAAATACAGCTAATAACAGTGAGTATACAAATACTAAAAAGGATTAAATAAATACCATACTAAAAAATAGTAAACAAAAGCAACATCAGAACACATTCAAAGCAGTAAGGTACAACATTCCATTTAAAAATCACTCTCAGGCAAGCCAGTAACGGAGGGAAAGCATGCTTGAAGAGAAAGGTCTTTGCCTGCTTGCAGAAGGGCAGTAAAGATTGGGGCCATGGATTGTTAAAATAATTACACATAAATATTTTTCATCTGTGAACATACAATAACATTTCTAATAAATATTATGAGATATATGAATACAATGGGAATTTCTTAAAAGGGTAATACTAAAGGCACATTCTAAAACTGTTTCAATAGAAGGGAAAACGGGAAATGGCTAAAGAAACCAGAATGGTTGACTAAAGAACTTTCAACTGAACTAATTGTTAAAAAAATGTACAGTACAAGAAATGGGAAAATGGGGAAAATGCCAAAGAAGACTACAAGCAAATATCCGGTATATGTAGGGGGAAGGTAAGAAAAGCAAACGTGCAGAATGAACTCTGGCTTGCCAGACAGATTAAAAGGGCTTTTTAAATTATGCCTGCAGCAAAAGGAAAAACAAGGAAATGATAGGGTCGCTGCGTGGAGAAGATGGCCAACTACTAACTGAGGACAGGGAAAAGGCTGGACTTCTCAACACCTTCTCTGCCTCAGTTTTCTCCAAAAGGAAAATAGTGCTCAACCTGAGGGGCGAAGAGCAGGTGATGTAATGGGGGAAATGCAGCACAGAATAGGTAGAGTAGTAGTACAGGAATACCTGGCTACTCTAAATGAATTCAGGTCTCCAGGGCCAGACAAATTACATCCAAGGATTTTAAAAGAATTGGCAGAGGTAATTTCCGAACCATTGGCAATAATATTTGAGAATTCTTGGACAACAGGAGAAGTCCTCACAGACTGGAGGAGGGCAAATGTTGTCCCTATCTTCAAAAAGGGAAAAAAGAAGACCCACATTATTGCCCAGTCAGCCTGACATCAATTCCCGGAAAAATACTAGAACAGATCATTAGACAGTTTTTTATTACTTAGAAAGCATTGCTGTCATCACTAAAAGACAAACGGGTTTCCTCAAAATCAAGTCATGCTGGACTGATTATTAAACTATATATTTTGAATTAATATTTAATATAATGCATATACCATGGAAAATTTTCTAATTAGATGCTTTTTTCATTGCATGCTGGATTTCTGTGTTTGTAACAATTATATAATTTTTATCTACATTTTAATCTTGTTTTCATTGATGATATATAACAGAAAAATGGTATGAGCCTAGTGTGTGTCAGCTAAATGGGCTAGTATGCTTCTGTTCTTCACCACATCAAATCAACCAAATAAAAAGAAAACTGATATTGATGGAAGAATTTTGATCCAATTTAAAGGCTGCCCTTTGGGATCCTCAAAAGCCGATTCCCAGTGGGTCTATTTGTAACATTTATGTATTTTCTGCATGCTGCTGCTGTAGTGGTGGTGGGTTTCCTGTACTGGTAGGGCATTGGGCTAGATGACCCTATTATTTACTGAACCTAGTGCATAGGATTGTCATCATCCTCTAGTTGTTTAATCATGTTCCACTCTTCGTGACCCCATGGACCAGAGCACTCCAGGCCCTCCTATGTTCCACTGCCTCCCGGAGTTGTGTCAAATTCATGTTGGTAGCTTCGGTGACACTGTCCAACCGTCTCTTCCTCTGTCACCCCCTTCTCCTCTTGCCTTCACACTTTCCTAACATCAGGATCTTTTCTAGGATTGTAGAATCCAGTTTATTTCTGTTCTTCATATTGATACTGCTTATAGCTGTGGTATGTTTCTCTTATACCCTGTGCAGTTGATGTAGTCAAGATTTCTCCCCATTTTCCTGCCCAACCATTTCCAGAAGCTTTTGGGGAAGATGCTGCACCAACAGACATGGCAACTGTACTTACAGGTATGTATGTACTTATTTATTTATTAGGGTCAGGTGACCAGCAGTTACAGCTATGCCAGCCAAGGCCCCTGCTAAGTCAGTTTCTCAGAATCCACATTACATTGTGTAGCAAGTAAGCGCAGGGGTTCAGACGACACAAGGAAAACAAAGCAGAATGAAGCTTAAGGACCAAAATGATTGGTATACCCATTTCCTTTAACCTATTTTCACAAATGATGCTTTAATTGATTTTAGCATTTCTTGCACCTCTAATTCCAGTGGAATTTCACATGAACATTAATGTACTTTTAAAACTTAGCATATAGTGCTCTTTCCAGTGTCTAGAACATTTTACGTACATTTTCCCAGCTATTAACGAGGGGCTGGACTCGATGATCCATAGGGTTCCTTCCAGTTCTGCACTTTTGATGAGATGAGATGCTTGCACACCCTGCATTTTTCTGCATTTACTGCAGATTGGGGCTTCCGCAAGGGTGTCTAGTGAGTTCATGGCCCATGGGATTTGAATCAGAAACTTCTTGGTACACAGCTAACTGGTTACACTTATTCTCAAAAAGTTTGCTTTCTAAACTATTTGTTGACATGGCAATGAACAATTGTACAGTATTATGTTTTGTTTAGTATGCTTTAAATGTGGAAAGCTACAAGTGAACTTTTATTCGACCCCATTGACGTAAGTGAGTAGGCTCCCTAATTGGCTCAGACAAGCATGATTTTATCACATACTCATTTCCATACTGTACACAGTCTACAGGGAAAGTGTCTGCCAAGCATATAACAACAAACAGACTTCTGCTAGGAAATGCAGAAGGGAACATGCAGACCCTTTTATGACAATGAAGAGGTGAGATCAGAAGATTTAGGCTATGGGTTAGGCAGAGCAGAAGAAGTGTCTCTTGTGAGTTGATCCAAGTCACAGCATTGAGTCACGGGGATTTTCTAATGGAGTGGGAAGTTGGATGATCTCAGGAGAATGTGTTTACTGCTTAGATAATGGCAGCTGTGTTGTTGTAGGATTGCCTCAGTGTCTGGGAGAACTGCCACTCCTGCCCCTGTGCTCTCTAGAATAAAACCTCCTTGGAAAGAACCTCATCCAAGAGCTGCCACAATAGCCGTTGGCTTGGTTGGATGATGACTGGATTATCTAAGCTTGTGGAAAGGTGTGGGTATCTTTGAGTGTGGCTGGGTTGATTCCAACTTTCCCAGTGCTTTTGACCATTCAGAGTGGAAATGACTAGTAGAATTGGTTTGTAGACTGACAAGCCCATGTTCTGTTTAATGAGATCATGTGTCTTAAGCCTCTCCAGCTTCTGGGACAATGAATGTACTCTAAAACAAGGGAACCATGTGTATGGTGAACTTGTCTGCCGACAAAGTCTTTTGTCTTCATTCTCAGAGACAAGTGCGTGTTCCTCTTCACCCAGCATCTGCGGTCCAGGCACCTGTGTCAACATGCCAGGAGGGTACACCTGCCTGTGTTACCCTGGTTATCAACAGCATCCCAGTGGCACCTATTGTACTGGTATTTCAGTAGTTTGTTTTGTTGGGGAATATGGGTGCATGTGGAGGGAGATAACCTCTCTCTTTTTGTCCTTCCATCAGCAGGTATTTATTTATATTTAATTCATTAATTAATTAATTTATATGCTGCCTTTCTCCCCATAGAGGGATCCAAGGCAGCTCACAACAATGGCAGTACATTCCATTAAATAAGCCTTTTTGTGCAAGTAAGCCTTTGGCAGTTAAACTGGCTTGCTGCGGAAGGGGCTTTTAATCCTGGTGTGTCCTATTTTTACCTCCATTATTGTGTCATTCAAATTCCATTTAAATGCCATTTTCAAGTTCATTTGTTTTATATTTTAACTGTACCTACTTTGTTTGTGATTTTGATGTTAGCTGCCTTGCGTTCCATGGTGACAGAGTGGGGTGGGGTGAAGGCTGGTTACAGATTACAATAAAGGAATATAAATAAACATCAGAAGGACTAATTCAGAATACAAAGGATAGGAGTGAAGGAAAATATTTTATAGTGAGTTAGACCCTAAACTGGTATTATCAACTCTAACTTGCAATAGATCTCAAAGGCTTCAGACTGGACACCTTCATACCTGGAGATCCCTCTTGTGTTCCCTCTTGCTCTCCCATCCCACTCTAAAGTTCTAGTCCAATATTTCAAAGTCTTTGAGATATTTACAGATCTGTGATGGGGAATATGTGCTCCTTCATGTATTGTTGGAATCCATATCATTATCAGCATTTATCAGATATGATGGGATTGTAGTCGGCAATGTCAAGAATCACATAATTCTCCACTCGTGCTGTAAGGTAGACAGAGTTAATGATAAAGACCATTGTCAGCTGAGCACAACTCTTTTCTCTTGCTCCAGATGTTGATGAATGTGAGAGAAATCCCTGTGATGGAAAGGGCCAATGCATCAACAGTGAAGGCTCCTACTCCTGTCGTTGTTTCTCCGGCTATACCCTTTTCACTTCACCTAATATACAAACATGTCAGGGTAAGTAATGCTTGTTCGGCCCTCACCAGCTTCCAGTGTTCATCTCTAGAAGATAAAGCAAGTGGCCTAACAACATTGTTTCCCACCTGCATAAATACCTTTCCAAGGGGAGAAGGGGAGAGAAAATGTTTTTATATTTTCCCATCTAGCTTGATTTTTCTTCTACCTTAGCCTAGAAATGCATCCAATAACCAATTCCTCCCCTTCCAATGGACAAGAAACCAAGTGCTCTGGAAGTCAGTTTCTCAGAATCCACATTACATTGTCCTTGTTCTTTATTGTTTTTATTGTTATGTGGGATAACTTTCCCTCGCTTATCTGACCTATGAAGAGCCAGTCTCATTGCATGTGACCCATGTCACCCCTTGAGCACAAGCAGTTACTCTATAGTTATTACTGTCTCAAAGGATCACATGGCTTACAACTGATTGTATGTGAGTCAGACAAGCCTGCATGTGAGCCATGTCAACCCTTGGGCACAAGCAGTTACTCTATAGTTATTACTGTCTCAAGGATCACATGGCTTGCAACTGATTGTATGTGAGTCAGACATGCCATGGATGGGACAGAAGTAGGGGCCCTTTAATTTCTTTTTAAAAAAGCCTTACCATTGAGATCATCATCCTCATGAAGGCATAACTTATGTTTGGCTATTAAATAGGCTAGAGTGGGATGTGATATATGGTTAATGTTGGAGATAATAATTATAGAGTCCCTGCTACCTATCCATTTAACTTAAAGTCTGTTTTAGTGCTTTGGATTCAGCCTCTTTGCTAAAGGTACACATCTCTGTGTATTAACAGATCTAAATGAGTGTGACCAGCCAAATATGTGCCATGGAGGGAAATGTGTCAACACACCTGGCTCCTATCACTGCGAGTGCAAAACAGGCTACATCCTGGATCACAGTGGACAGTGTGAAGGTGAGTGTTCAAACAAATGGTTTCTGAGATGGATTGGTTGAAGAGCTCCCTTTCCTTAGTATGTAACTTGCGTTGGTTTTGCCAAGTCATGCATTAAAACGCCTTTGAAAGCCCTTGTATATTTTTATGTATGTGTTCCTGAGGCCCTAACCTTTGGGTATTCAGGTACTGAGAATAAAATACTAACTGAAAGAGAGCAGAATGTTCGTTTATAAGCAGAGCTGGTTTTGCTTGAGGGCCAATATTCTAGTAATTTGGAGTTGGAGATGTAGAATACAACAAACTCAATTTTCAGTATGTACAAATTATCAGTCAATGTGTTTTTTAAAATTTTACTTCTTAAAAATTAACATAATACACCTGCATTCTGGATAAATAAGTCAGTAGTAAATATTACTACTAACAGAATCTTGAATTAATTTAGAAGGATGCTTTATCCTGCCCTGTACCCCTTGTCACTTAAAGTTTTCATCTCTCCTTGGTTGTAAGCAAACTAAATACAAAGCAGTGCAATACAGTATGTAATATGTAATGGGTGGATGCTGCCCTCTTATGGGGAAGAAAGGAAATGGAAAATGATTATTCTTTTCATGTTGCTGCTTCTCTTCTTCTAAAACATGGATTGGTAACTAAAGTGAATTACCAGCTGGTGTCATGGATGGAAAAGAATTTTGTTGCATTTGAATGTTTCAGTGAAACTAGATTTTTCTGCACTTCTCAAGACTGGTTGCAAGAAGCGGTGCTCTTTCATCTTGAGAACTGCAATTTGTGAAGCTTATAGAGTGTTTCTCAGAAAACACATTTTAAAATGCATGTGCACAATAGAAAAATGAGCAAAATCATGCAGTGGTCAATGGGAAAGATGCAAAAGTTAAGTAGAATGTATAAATAAGTGCCCACACTAGTAAAATATAGGTAAATATATGCAACATTCCATACAGTTGATAAACTGATAGGAGATAGGAAAGAAAATATAGGTGGGATTTTGGAAAAATGCAACAACACTGAGACTCAATTATTTTCATATCCCTGAAAATTTAAGTGTTACATGTGCAAAGTGGGAAGAACATTAGAAGTGTTTCTTTAGCACTGACCCTACAGAAAACATTGAAGAACTGGATACTCCTAGTTTAGGGTTAGAAAAAGATGTAGAGATTTAATAGTAAAAATCATACTATTTAGAATATGTGAAGCAGTTTATACATACCAAATTGCTGTTGCTTTGACAATGGCTGTGCATGAGAAATGGGTATTATTGCTTTCATTTCAGAGCACTTGACTTTTGCCAGCTCAGACAAGGAGGTAGGGCTAAGAGGCGATGGGTTAGAACATAGAGCATGCTGTCTGATAATAGGCCATATGGCTGAGCTTGCCCCATATTGTCTAGTCCACCTTCCTTGGCATTAATTCTCTAGCACAGGTCTTTCCATTACTTGCTACCTGATTATTTTAACTGGATATACCCTGGATTGAACCTGAGACTTTTGACCAGCAAAATGTATATTGGTATCTCAGTGCATTATGGTTCCTCCCTTCCTTTCTAAGAAGCTCTCTGCTAAGCTTTCCACTCTTGCACTTATGTTAAGTCTCGGCATGTACTCTCTTTCCAGCTGTTCTCTTTAAGTTTTTCCTCCCCTTTGATTCGCTTGTAAATGTTTGCAAGCTGGACAGCTGTCGCACACTGTGCTGAGGATGGTGCTGTTTCTAGGTTTGGATCAGCTTCCCAGGAGAGCCTGCTACGATAAGAGACAATTAGTTGTCTCTTAGACATAGCAGTCTCTTCATGTCTCCAAACCTGTTTATATCACTCCAAGGTCTCACAGTCCCTCCTTTTGTCAGATTCCAATTAAGATGAAGTGAAAGTGGCTGCAGAGGTCTGAGAGGAATAGATTGGACACCGTATCTCTCAGTATGAACAAATATGAAGGCCTCTGCTGACTTTGGAATCTGAACACATAAACAAGTGGGCAGTTCCAACTCCTGCTTTTACACACTAGGATGCTATTAAGTTTAACCACGGTGCAGATAATAATGGACCAGCGAGAGAACCTTGTATAGGTGAAGATTCTGAATGACAGGGGCCCTAGTTTAGCTGCACAGATACTTTGATATATGGTGAGAATTGCTACCATTGGTATTCCTCCTTGTCTCTCTGCCTCTGCGTCTTGCAACCACAGACAATGCTTCAAGGAGAGCAAGGTTTTTAATAAATCTTGTTAATTTGACCCTCACTCGTTTCAATTACAATTGTAGCATGAGTATAATTAGTGTTGGGTCTTTGCTCCTTTGGCATTATTTTCTGAGTACTGTGACCCAGCATATGCAACATGGTAAGCTCTACATGTTTTTGGCTATAATTTATGTAGGATCTAGTCAGCACACCTCATGGGCAGAATCATTAGAGTGCTGATTTTGATGCTTAAAGCACTAAATGGCTTGGGCCCAAGCCATCTCAAAGATCACACCTCCCTTTATGAGCCTGCCTGGGTTTTAAGATCATCAGGGGAGGCCTTTCTCTCAGTCCCATCAGCCTCACAGATGTGTTTGGTGGAGACACACGAGAGAGCTTTCTCTGTTACTGCTCCCAGACTCTGGAACTTCCTCCAATGTGAGGCCAGGCCGACCCAATGTTTGTTGTCCTTCCACAAGCAGGAAAAGACTTTTTTCTTCAGGCAGGTTTTCTCTTGGTGACGGACTTGCCTAGGAGGGGATTCTTACATGTTGTTGTTTTAAATGTGTTTTTAGAACTTTTTTCATCTGATAGTTTAATAATATATTTGTTCAATTATTTTGAATAGTGTAATAATCTATTGTTCTTACCTTTTAAGAATATCTGTTGCTTTAAAATACTGTAAGCTGCTTGGATCCTTTTCAGGAGAAAGGTGAAGTATAAATATTATAAATAAATAAATAGTACATAAATGTAGTGCAGTACAACTAGAAGGCACTAAGTTGCTGAAGGACAATACAGATAAAGTGATTTGTCATCTCCTGCTGTTGAACTCCAAGGTTCATTATCCATAGACTGAAGCACTGATCCCTGTTTGTACAATTTGTCTGTCACAGATATTGATGAGTGTGCAATGCATAATATCTGCCCTAGAGGACGCTGTATCAATATTGAAGGCTCCTACTCTTGTTTGGCTTGCAGCACTGGATATATTGCATCAGTGGATGGAAGAATATGTGAAGGTATACTCTGTGGCCAGGTGTGATGAGCAGGGAAACTTTCTTATGGACAAAAATATGGTACCATAGTCTAATCTCAGCAGACTGCAACATTATTGTAGCCATAAAAATCAACCGGATATCATACGGTATAAACTTGAAGACTGATTTCTTGTGCAGAATGCCAGTCTTTTTCACTGATGAAAGCTGCCTGTTTTGCCATGTTGTATTTGTTTCATAATGTTTGGTCAGCATTTTTTCTTCCCCATTCCAAACATGCTTCATGTTCTCGAACAATGAAGAGTTGTGTGGCACACTTAAGTCTTAACAAATTTACTACAGCATGACTGTTTGTGGATTATAACCCACTTTGTCAGGTGCATGGACTATAAAGTTAAGGGCCTCAGGTGTAGTCAGTGAGAATTATATTTTCAAAAGTGGCCGTTTTATTTATTTATTTATTTCATTTTATGCTACCTTTCACCCAGTGAAGGAACCCAAGGCAGCTCACAAATTATTAAAAAAAACAATCCAACTAAAAACACAGTGGCCAGAATCCTATAGGTGTTTGCATAACATTGGTGCAACTTGCCACAGCTAACCGTAGCAGATAGGCAAGGTGCTGGGATACTTCTCAGTGGCACAGTTGAGCATGCAAGCAGGTACAAAACCAAGACGCACCCCCAGAAGCTTGTCAGTTAGCTGCAGTTAGGTTATGGCAAGTTACACAAACTTCATGTGAATTCCAACAGGATTCTGGCCAAAATATAAATAATAATAATTATTTTTTTTTAAATGTCATTGTACTAACAAAATAAAAATATTAAAGCAATCAGTTTAAAACAGTCAATCACACTTTAAAAACACATGAAAATACACATGAAAACAGTAACAATAATGATATACAGCATTCAAAAATTAAGAACTCCTCACTGCTTCATTTAATTGTTAAAAACCTGTGCAAAGTGCCAGCATTCAAACATTGAGAGGGGGAGATCTCCGAATAACATTTACCAGAGTAGTGTTTTACCCGCTGGCATGCTGCCTTCTAGTGAACTGTGGCTTCCTGAGCACCATCATGGTGCAAGACAGGTTCTCCCTCCTATGGTGCCGTGAGTCCTCTGCGGTATAGCTGCAGGCTCCCTCTTTCTCCACCCTTGATCTGCAACTCCTGTATGTAGGAGAAGGGTATGAGCTCCTATAGGAACTGAACAGTGTCAGCACAACAGCCTGAAATGCATCTTTGTCATCACCTTTAAAGCTGATAAGCATACTTTAATTCCTTTTCAGCATGGAGAGAACAGCTGGTGACAGCACAAACTTCCTGGCAGTTCTCTTGGAACAAACCAACAGAGCTGTTCCTTTAAAATAGTGTATGTTCTTCATTATACAATTTAGCTAAATGACACTTCCTTCCATGTGCAGAAACAGCATGAATATAGCATGTGTGTCCCTTTCTCCCTTCAAATTGTTTTGTGCATAGGTGTCTTGTTATGGGCAGATAACTGGAAATGGTCATTACCTGCATACATATCTTGCTGTTTCTGAGGCATCTCATCAATTACTATTAGAATCATGCACGACTATATGGATTTTGGTCTAGTTTAGCAAGACATTTTATATATATATTTGCCCATTCTTACTGGCTTCCTCCATTTATGTTGTTTTTGTTGTTTCAACTTATATATATCACCCCAAAGTGCTAAAGCACTCTCTGAGCAGTTTACAGCATAATTATGTAAACAACACCCCTCCCCCAAGCAATTTTACCAATCTCAGAAGGATGAAAGACTGAGATAACCTTGAGCTGGCTACCTGAACCCATTGGGATTGAACTCAGGTCATGAGGAGAGGCCTGGCTGTAGTTCTGCAGTTGAACCACTGTGTCATGGGGCTCTCGCCAAGAGACTAATTGTTTGGGAATCCTTTCCCTACTTTTCAATCCCTACAGCCAGTAGAACAAACAATAGTTTTCCTTCAAAAATGACACTGAATTGGCGTGAGCCTGAAGTTTGATATTACTTTGGTATATAACTTTGTTTTCCTTCAAAAATGACACTGAATTGGCGGGAGCCTGAAGTTTGATATTACAGGTACTTTGGTATATAACTTTAGTGAACTGTTAAGAAGGTAGATCCTGGAAATCAGGTGTAGACGCTTAAGCAAGCTTCTGGAGTGAGTTTTAGACAATAATAAAACTACCCTTTTCAGATGGGTTTTGGAATAGCATGTTGATAAGACACTGCGTGCAGGAAAGAACTGTCTGAGCTCATTCGTGGGCAGGCACATTTTTGTTAATTATCCCATGTTAGTGATAAAGACAATGTGTTCTTTCTTCAGATGTTGATGAATGTGTCTCCTCCACGGCCTGTCCTCAGGGAATCTGCATTAATACACCGGGCTCCTTCATTTGCCAAGCTTGTGACACTGGCTACACACTCTCATCCAACAAACTCACTTGTGAAGGTAAAAATAATGGAGCTCCTTCTGCTTGATTGAACAACATCTGTTAATTAATTAGATCAATATATGGTATTAAAATGGGATAAACCAATACTATGACCTGAACTGATTCTCCCCTTTCATAGGAGGATTCATCACCTGGGAGAGGGGCTCATTGCACTTTGAGCCTCTCCATTCTCTATCAGCATCTAAATACACTTTGGTTCACCAAGTCCTCAGACCTGGCATCCTATCTGATATAAAACATTAGAGGCTGTCTGGGTAGGGACTATCTGACACAGATTAATATGTTCATTAATGACTTGGTTGCAGCTCTGTAGCTAAGTTACATTAACTGAAATTAGGGCAATTCAGAGGAGAAATGGAAAATGGATTGGGAAGTAAAAGGAATGAGTGCCTAATTATTCAGAGAGATTAAGTCAGACAAACCTGCCTAGTCTTTTAAAGTCATAAATTAGAGGACTGAGGGGGAGAGAGAGCTATTGATTTTTTTTAAAATGCAAGGGAGAATAATAAGGCTGGGATACCAGGGAAATATATATACCAACATAGCGTGTTTAAAAATCCAAAATATTAAAGAAAAGCAAATAAACATCCATATGGCCATTTCCTGATTTTCCCAAATAGTTTGTTTCAGAATGCTGTTTAGTTAGTTTTCCAAACTCCTTTCTCAAAGTCCTAATAAATGCAGCTGAAACTTGAGGCTGAAAAATAGGCCAGTTGAAATCAATTTGATATTGTTTCTTTAGAAGAAGTAAAAAAAATTAATAAAGATTAATTGCTTTCTGTTCTTGTCAACTTCTTTGAAAAGCTTGTTTTGTAAAATCAATATGGAAAATGTGACCATAAATACAGTAGATGTTTCCACCTGAGCAGTAATAGCACTGGTTGCACAGTTAAAAACAACACAGGGATCATTTGATTGTTTGTGTGTTTTGAGAAGGAAATAGTGATGGAGATAAGCAAATTATTATACGAACATCAAAGTAACTCGTATTCTTTTGCTAATGTTCTGTTTGCTTCTGCTAACTTTTCTTCTATTTTGCAGTCTACAAAATCTGGTTAAAGGAAATCTCTTTTTTGCACATATGAAATGCATTGAATAAAAATCTGGCCTCTATATGAATAAACAGAAGTTGGAATCCAGTTGAAAAATGATGCCGGTGTAACTCCATCAGCATAAATTTCAGTTGTAAATTGCTGCAAACTAAGAAGTCAGCATAAGCATTTGCTGTTATGTTGTAAGGCACACGGCTGATGTGCAACAGCAAATGTCTACACCACAGGTTCCTGACATTTGAATCATGATCCTCAAGAGGGTTGCAAAGTTTTTTTGGGGGGGGGGAACATGCCACTCTCAACTTGCACCCCTCCTCCTAGTTCCCTTCTGCACGCATCCCACTGCCTCCCTTGCTTGTACCCAACCAAGCTCCTTCCCCCTCCAACCAAGCTCTCTTTGCTGCTCTCTATGGGGCTTCTCGGTGCCTAGCGCTCCATGACTGTGCAAACGCCTTCTCCAGCAATGGCATTGGTGGAAGCTCCTCAGCTGTGGTGACTGACTGGTTAGCTTGGGTGGGGGACCAGGATGTGGAGGAGTGGGAGGCAGGACCCAGCCACAATCCCTGTAAGCCAGACCAGCCACAGTGAGAGTTGAGGGGAAGAGCCAGTGACAGGCTGGAGAGGGAACGAGAGAAATCGTGGAGGAGGAAGAAAAGGCTGCTGCAACTGCCACTGCCACTGAAGTTATTTCACCGCCTCCTTGCCTTAACTACATGTCCTGCCACTGTGATCTTAGGAAGGATGGCTGAGGAGGCAGAGCCACCACTTGAAAGGAGGACAGAGAGGGTGACAGTTCCTTCCTGAGGGAAAACTCGCCCTCACCCAGTAAAACCCAGTTTAAACCCTCTACTTCCCAGAGCCCATTGAGGGACTGCTGGGAGAGGTGGGCAAGTGGCTTTAACAAACATTCAGATTCAAATTTCGAAGTTGGTTGCCCAGATGCAAGTATCACACTAAATATTAGGTTAGAATTCTATTCTTTTTTTTAAAACCTATTTTAATGTGTTTTCCTTGCTCCATGAAAAATGCCTTTTTATGCACATGTGGCAGGGTGTTACAGGTTACTTGGCTATTATAAAAGGGGGTCACAACTCGAAAAAGGTTGGGAAACGCCAGCCGACACTGAGCTCTCATAGCAATTCATAGCTAAATTTTTCCCCAAAGAGTTCCACCAACAGGCTGAACCAATAAAATTCTGGCCACAGAATTATGTCTACCGTTCATGCTTATCTGAAGGGCATAGCTTCAATAAAATCAAAATAACTGAACTGTTCAAAGAAAGCATTTTGCATGTTTGTATGAACAGTGTGCATGTCGTGGCGTATTTTGTTCTCTAAACAGTCAGAAGGCATAGAAAATATTTGGGTGATCTAAAGTTTGGATACACAGCATTCCTATTTGCTCTGCTACATTTGTCTTCCCCAGAGTCCTAGAAGACATTGAAAAGTATGATATAAAAGAATGAGCTCAAATTTGTGTCCCGAGAAGATGAAGCAAATCTATTTCACATAAACTGTGTGCATAATGTACTTCACTACAACACAGCGTAGTAAATCCAGTTGCTTAGCATGGTAAGTCACAACTAGAGTAGGCTTATTGAATCAGTGCAGCCTTTGGAGAAGTCGACTCAGCAAATCCCAACTGATTCAGTGGGCCTACTCTCATTGTGACTTAACTGTGGTATGCAACAGGATTTCAGTTAGGGTGTCCATCTGTATACTTTAAAATAATAACTTTAAAATAATATGGTTGTTGTAGGTTTTTTGGGCTGTTTTGCCGTGTTCTGGAACAGAACATGGCCAAACAGCCCGAAAAACCTACAACAACCATTGGATCCTGCCTGCGAAAGCCTTTGAGAATATATTTAAAATAATAATGCAATCAGGATTTTTTAAACCTCACATTGCCTTCCTCAGTGTTTATTTATTTAT